TCTGCCTCCCAAGTGCTGGGACTACAGGCGTGCACCACCATGCCCGGCTAATCCTGATGATTTTTAAAAATTTTGTAAGATGATTTTAAGGAGGCAGAACTTTTTAAACATATAATGTAAACTGTCAACCATAATTAGCCTTAATGTATCAGCTGGTTTTTGCTTCAGTTGTTGAGCCTGGCATTTCAGGAAACAATACTGGCATAGACAGTTCTGTTTCCTGCAGTGCGTAATTTCACCTTGACATGACTGTGACACTAATGTCACAAGCCTTCACAGCGTGAAATTTCAGGTCTTCCTACTACTCCGTACATAAACACATTCTGACTTTTAACCCCAAAATTTAATTAAACAAAAACAATAAAGTCTCAGACACTCCCACAAAAACACAGACATACAGACACAGATACAGACACAGACAGACACACACACACACACATGCAGACACACAGAGACACACACAGACACACACACACACACACACACACACACACACACACACAAACAGCCCATAATTAATCAAGTTTAAAGTTTTTTAAAGATAGGGCTGGAGAGATGGCTCAGCAGTTAAGAGCACTGGCTGTGCTTGCAGAAGAACCTGGTTCAAATCCCAGCACCCACATGGCAGCTAACAACCATCTGCACCTCCAGTTCTAGCAGATCCAATGCCCTCTCTCTTCTGGCATCTGAGGGCACTGCAAGACATGGGTACACTTACATATATGCAGGTGTAACACTCACACACATAAAATAAAATGAATAAATAAAGTTTAAAAAAATTTAAGTTAAAAAGCAAAACCAATTACTTACTTTACATAATTGCTTACAGAAACTGTTCCATGAGGCTAGTGAAATGACTTAGCTGTTAAATGGACTTGCAAACACAAGCTTGGTGCCTGAAGCTTGTAACCCAGACTAGAAGCAGAGAACTGACTACCAGAAGTTGTCGTTTGACCTCCAAACACAGACATACAGACACAGATACAGACAGACAGACACACACACACACACATGCACACACACAGAGACACACACAGACACACACACACACACACACACACACACACACAGACACCAGACCCCAAATCCCTATTTCAATTTTGTCCAAAGATTATTTTCTGATTTTGTATTTGCATTCAAATGACATAAGCTTTGAAGATAACAGCACAAAACTTACTCCTATAACTCCATTAGCAAAGCTGGCTGGCCCAGTCCATTGACCTATTCAATCAGCTTTTTTGGTATCATTATCTGATCAAAACTTTACATCTCCTTTCTTATAGTAAGATGTGTCACAAGAAAATTGCGTTAAAATAAAATCAAGAAGAATTCAAAGAATACACTAAATTGTACAATGATGCATCCTTAGTGATAGAACTCAGCATGCAGAGTTAACACCCAGTCAACTCCCAGACTCGCAGAACACCTGCTCTCTTCCTGCTTGTTTTTTAAGCCATATCCATTCTTGTTCATGTACATTTTTTACTCCATTTCTATATGATTCTGATTCTGTCGTTTCTGTTTTCTACTTAGAGTAGCCATTTCGTAGCTTGTTGTACTATGAGCTCCTTTTAAGTGTCCTTCAGTATCACCTTTTCTTCCCACAAAAGCATTTACTCTTATTATACCCTAGAAAGGAAATGTTCTTGCTAATGCCATCCAGTCTACCCTCTACCACCACACACACAATGTCCCATCTTTAAGTTCTCTTTAACTGCTTCCCCAGTGAAGCCCATCTATTGCTTCATGTTCCAGAACATTGTTTTCAGTTCACTGTTACACAAGGACAGTCTAGAAATCTCATTTAATTTACATTGCTAATAGTTGAGAAGAATTAGGTTTTTACCCCATGCACATAGGCCCTAGGAGGTTTGCATTTTAATGGAAGACAATTTCTACATAACTCAAAAGAATAGAATGACTCTAAGCAGAATTTCAACCATCACTGAGACTGTAGAGGATTTATTTGGGATGAAACTATATATCACCAAGCTATAATACTTGAGATGACAGCTTTCTCTGTAGACTTAGGGTGCTACATGAACAGAAGTTGATGCTTACCTACCTTATGTATAAAAATAAAATTAAATTTACAGCAGAAATCTAAGCCGTTAAATAGCTAAGCAGCCTACTTCTTAACGAGAAGTATTTGCTCAGTGTCTCGTCTTCACAAAGTGATTCTTCTAGGCCTGTGTACATCTTGTTACTTCAAAATGTCTTCATTAAAATGGCCAGCAACTTGATCAACTTTATATAGCACCTTATGACTTTTGCCTCCTGATCTTCTTTTTTCTAGCAAATATACTTCACAAAACTTGGTATTATATTATTTATCTGTCCCCTTGGGGTATGAATCTTTGTAAAGCCCTTTTCTAGTTTTATCAGCCCAGGATGGCCTTTCTCAAAGAACTGAGGCTTGTCTCTCTGGACTGTAAGTGTAAAGAAAGATGATGCCCCCATCTCCCACTTTCTCTGGGAAGGCAGGAGATTGTCACCCTGTGAAACCTTGTTCTACTTTGCCAAACTGCTGTCTCCTCTCATGAGCTTGCAAGAATGTTTGCTTTTCCTTTAAGTAAGACTAGTGTACACACGCAAATGTAATTCTCTCTTCCAGGATTTACATACTCTCCTTTTTTCTGTTTCAACAGTTATTCTAAGTGAGAGTTTTGACCTCTCCATGTATTACAGGTAGCCTCGAGTAACATCCTTCTTGTCCATTTAAGTGTTTGCCACCATGAGCTGTCTATGCAGAACAAATGTAAAGAAGGAGGCAGAGGAAGAACAGTACCTTTTTTCTTTACATCAGCGACAGCTTCCTTCTCACTTTTCTTTTTGGTTTCTTCTTTTTCTACTGGCAAAATATAAAAGTTATAAGCTTTATTATTTCTTATTTTTTATGTGTATGAGTGTATTGCCTGCAAGTGTGTAAGTACACCCATGTCGTGTAATGCCCACGAATGTCAGAAGAAGGTGTCAGATCCCCTGGAACCGAAGTTACAGATGGTTGTTAGCCACCATGTGGGTGTTGGAAATCAAATGTGGGTCCCCTGCAAGAGCAGTCCATGCTCTTAAAGGTGTCCTTCCAGCACTCACTTTTAGTTTATTCTTATATATTTCAGAACACACATGACTATATTAAAACATCCAATTCATCTTATGTAGAGGAATTAATTGTAATTCAGAGCTATAAGTGATGTCATATACGAACACCTTCCAAACATACTCATAGCTTAAATGTGCTTTCTGCCAAGAAGGGGCAAAATTTGCCAAGAAAAAGAAATCTTTAAGAAACAGAGAAACATTAAATGCCATTTTTAATTATGGTAATATTCAATAGTTTTCCACAAATATATTAAGAACAATAAATTTTGCCCTGAACTCTCACTTCCCAGAAAGCATATTAAAATTCTAAAATCTCTGAAACTCATTTTGGGGTATCTGGAAAATTATTAGTAAATAAATAGCTAAAACAGAAAAAAAAATAATGGCAATGACTTAGCAAACCTGTCAAATACAGTCTTTCAATTTTATAAAATAATCTGGCCTTTTGATAGACATTTAAAAAAATTATTTTTACTTAATATGTATGAGTATATTGCCTGCATATATGGAAATGTAACTGTTTCGTGCAATGCCCTCAGAGTTCAGAAGAGAGCATTGGATCCCTTGTAACTGAAGTTACAGGCAGTTGTTAGCCACTACCTGTGAGCTGGGATTCAAACCCAGGTCCTCTGCAAGAGCAGCCAGTGCTTTTAGCCACTGAGCCATCTCTCAAACCCACTGATATTTTAAATAAAATTTTTAATTTTTATTTTTAATAAAATTGGATGAACTAAATTATAATCTTCATTATATAGATTATAGTAGAGCACTTTTAAAATCAAAATAATAATCTTACAGTAGTAACTTTAACAAAGGCATTTAGGCCCTGGTGTAGTGGCACATGAATGTCAGAACTCTGGAGGCAGAGGCAGGGATTGGATCATGAGTTCTAGATTGACAGGAGCTGTACAGAAAAATCCTGTCTTTAAAGAATAGGTAAATAAAAGCTTTTAAATATTTTCTTTAATTTCAACTTGACTTGTAGTATTTAAAATTCCCAACTGTTTTCAAGAACAGTGACAATCAAACAGGTGAATAACATTCTTAGATAATAACAGCTTTGCCAGAAGCTATATAAATTGATAGTATTTGACCTTGGACTTGAGTTTTAGATAGATTTTATATTCTTTACCTTTCTTTTTCGTTTCAGAATTAACTTTCTTGTCAGCATTCTTCTTCTCCTCTTCCTTTTCTAGAAAACAAATTTAAAACATTCCCATTAGGAAAGTCAGAAGGAAAGGAAGTTTTATTGCTATGCTGGTTCTGCCCCCAGGCGATTTAAGGCCTCCAAGGAGTCCTTTGGCCTCCTAAGGCCACATTTTCCTCATTTGTAAAATACCAGGAACTCCCTGGAAGCCACACAATGTTTATCAAGTGCTCTGAATAATGCCCTGAGCAGCTCACAATAAATAATTTTATGGACTCTTAATACTGCTTATAAATCATGAACAAGATAGTTTGAGCTTTCTGAATTTAGTTACCTGTTGAGTACTAAATTATCATATTGATATACAAGATTTAAACACAATTTCTTAGAAACATATTTGAAAAGTAATCTTAGAGAATAATTTTGTGTTTTCTTCATATGCTTCCTTTATTAGAAATAATACATTAAGCAATTAACAGTATCTAATTGAGTTAGGCTTGTTTGGCTCTGGCTCTTGTCAAGACGCATTTGGGGCCAGTGACATTTGTCTGGCAGTGTGTCAGGGACATCACTCTGCTTCCTTTTCTGAGTGGTTCTTTCAAGAAGAATACTCAACTACACTTGGACTGTAGTGAGTATGAATGCCGTGTAAAACCATGTATGTAGGTCTCCTATACTTCCTAAGGAAGGCCTATTTCAGAATTCTGAAGAAGCCTTAGTCTGATTAGGCCCAAGGGAATGTCAAGTGTTATCCAGCTACAGACTTGTATACCTGGACATCCCCGGATACTTTTCTGGTAAGCATAGTCATTTCAAATACGAAAGCCATGTGATATACAGAATTGTTCAAATAGAATACCCTGTGAATTTATATTTGAAGCTGTAATAAGTATGACTAATGCTGAAAATTAGTTTTTATATCAATTAGTAGAGTTTTTTATCCTGTATTTGGAATACCTTCTTCTTTGCCATTTGTCATTTGTCTGTCATTGCAGGTACAGATATGTTCAAAGATTCCCGTAGTCAGAACCATTGTAATATTTTTACAGTACTGGGGAATTCAATGTGTTGTTCAAAGACAAATGCTTAAGTTGTATACAAAGAACTGTATCTTATTAAGTATGGAATTAATTCATTCCCTTAGGTAGAGAGCTTTTTTACCTACAAGATAAAAGATAACACTTTCTTTTAGTGTTAGGAGCATCATTTACAAAAAGTCCCTTTCCACCACTCTCAGAGATAATCTAGCACTGTAAGGAGACAGAGTCACACTTTGTCTAAATGTGTCTGCAGTATACCACTGTGGCTTGTTCAATCAGAAGAAGAAAGTCAAGAAGGCAAATTTTGATAATTTCAGAGTTAAAAATAAGCCAACTGAAATTCATTTTGCCTTTTTCTCAAGGTTTAGGCATAAGCAAATCATATTGAAAATTCTGAATAAAGATGTTTTTAAGTATCATTACATTCAGCTTCTCTTCTGTGAGAAATTGTTTGTAGCAGGAAACTTTCCATCTTATCAAAGCAAATGAAAATGTCAGGCCACTAAATAGGCTTTAGCTAAACATCATCATCTGATACCGTGAATTAGAAAAGGAACTAATTAAATGTGACTAAATGCAAATATTTCTAATCCCATACTCAGTAAGGACGTAGTCACCATAAGATCACAACTCACCATCTGATTCTGTAGATGTATAAAAAATCAATGTAGACAAATATTTCATTAAGAAATTTGTGCCAAGGAGTCAACCATATAGTGTACTTCACAGTTAAAATAGATACTTGAGGTCATGAGGTAGAAGCCATTATTTTCAACTCTTTAAAGAGAATGCTCTTGTACAATAAATTCCACCCTTTAATGTAGCTGGAATTTTATTGTGGTAATACAGTATTCTTGCCTAAGCTCAGATTGAATTAATGATTCCATTATACACCCTGCCTGTGATTATAGCCATACATTGTAAGAATAAGACCAGAAGTCTACAAAAAGTGGGTATAAATAATGTACTTTAATAACTTTTTATGAACTAGAACTTTAAAGCTGTCATCATGGAACTTATAGTATTCATGGTAAATTTCATTTAAAACATCACCTTGTAAAGATTATGCCTTTCTTCAAGCATTGTTATCTGTGCTCCGAAGCTGATCTGGTAGCAGTGGGATTCAGTTTCTCATTTATAAAAAACATAACAATTTAATTATGTCCTACTTGGATATAGCAGTCCATGTTTCTTTTAGGAAGACAATCCTTCCTCTGACTTTTTTCTCCTAACAGTCAACGCTTCCTTTCCCTTCCCACGTGACTATCCATTCCCATAGCTATTGTCTTCTGGATTTCTCTGTTTCTCAGTTTCTGCTAATGTGTTTGCTGTTTTGCTTGCAATAGCTAGAGAAGGGTTAGAGGGTTTAATAATATTGATTTTCAAAGAGTTAGCAATTGAACATGTGTGGACGAGGTGAACTTATCAGTTTGTTTTGTTTTTGTTTTTGTTTTTGTTTTTGGCCAAAGAGTCCTAAGCCTTGAAATGATTGCTCTATCTAACCAAGTTCACAGGAAAGACTGGGAGAGAAATCCTTGCTACAACTTGAAATTCTGAGCCACTGAAAATGTTATTAGCTTCTGCATAAATTAACATCAGATGAAAGAAAAATTAAAGGACTTACTTTTCCTTTCCTAAGCCCTTACAATAGGCTTTTCTCTTCCTCTAAATGTTTATATGCCTTCTCAAAGCCAGAAAACACATAATAGTTAATTACAGTTGTGAAATTGTCTAAGAAGCTGTTCCTAACAAAACTGAGAAGCAAATGCAAATTGTTTCATTTTAATCTTATGTTTTGTTCTTCTGAATCTCTTTATGGTTTGGAGATTATGCTACTTCTACATGTCAAATGAATGTTTTTCATCTAACACTTTAGGGCCAAGATTGGTGTATTTTTGGCTCCAGTCAAATCAGCTATGTCTTGTTTCCTTCCTAACACCACAGTCCAACATTCCTTGTCACTGTCACCTTGTTTCTGTAGAGTGACAGAGATTGGCCAGCTCACGCCATGACCATGGAAAACAGCATATAAGGAGCTGAGCTCAATCACATGATCAGTTATTAGACTTTTCCTCATTGTTATCTGCAGTATGTAGGATAAGAGAGAACAGGGGTGCTGGCCCTGGTGTCCTTGTCCTGAGTTCTGTCCTTGGCTTTTTCTAGTTGTGTGAGATTGGTCATATGCTATAATATTCTAAATGTCATTTCTTCTTTCTGTAAAGTGGAACTACTAAATCCTACCTTGCTGTTTTGTTGTGAGGAATGAGGATGATTGAGCTAAATCATTTGGAACAGACTGACAACCGAAATACAATTAGATTAATGATTAGCACTTATTATATTCGTCAATAAAAATCTGAACACATTGAGTATTTTTCTAGGTGTAAGTTTTATTGATTTTTTTGGATGGTGCCAAGTATTTATTTTCCTGTATCCAAAATGTATGTATTTAGCATATATTTTATTGAGAAAGTACAAGAAAAATGTTCATATGTCCAAGGATATACATCCTGCATCAGCTCTTTGTTACAGTGAGAGCAGAATTTAGTGAGGCCATTGCTTTATGGAATTGTTGAGTAAATCATGTATCTTCTCTCATCAATCTTAACTGGAAAGGAAATGAATAGAATATATTTTAATCCTCACTTCGTTCCTTAAATGAAATTTACATCATCTTCCATGTATTAGCCAATTTCTCTGGGAACATATTACTTTAAAAATTCTTTAGAATAACTATTATACACTGTCTACATTTTACAAAATTTTAAGCAAGAGAAAATCTATTTTACATGTTTAAGATAAGCATGTATATATGTATATAATGTTAAGTTGTCATAAGGATTTGAAAAGAAATAAAACAGGTTTAGTGGATTAGAAAATTCAAAGGTGGGAAGCACATTGTTTTCATTAGGGTAGATCATGGGTGTGTTTCTTTTTTAAATTTCAAATTAATTAAGCTTTAAAATCTTATGCGTATGAGTGTTTTGCCTGCATATATGTAAGTGCACCCCTGTGTACAATGCCTACAGAGGTCAGAAGAGGATGTTGGAGCCCTGGAATTACTGATAATTTTTAGCTGCCATGTGGGTGCTGGGAACCAAACCCAAAACACCTGCAAGAGCAGCCAGTGCTCTTAATCACTGGGGCCAGCTCTCTAGCCCCAAAGAAATGTTTCTTAATTAGGTAATATTTGAAAAAAATTAATGAAGAAACACTGGAATTGCTTGAACTGTCCCAAGTAGATTGAAGGCTATTTCAACACAGGAAACATACTTACCAAGACTCTGAAATTGGAGTTTGCTAGATACATAGAACACATGGTGGCAAAATGAAGGTAGAGTGGAAGGCTCAAGGACAGTGTGAGAAAGTGATGAGAGACCAGCAGGCCCATCACAACGAATTCTATTGTTCATGCTGGGAATTTTTCATCTCATAGTAACATGGGTAACCACCAAGTTATTTTAAGCAGGGAAGTTTTTAAAGCTTCCAAGTGATGTTTCAGGGGGAACTTAGCTGTTGGACTATCAAGCACTTCACTGGATTATGTGATCAGATTGTAAGGAAGACTTTAAAAAAATTTCAGTGAAAATGTTCTTTTCTATTTTTTCTCCCCAAAAATTCCCTTGGAATTTTGTTTGGGAATCTGTAAAGGACAAAACATTATAAAACGTAATGAGAGTACATCACTTTTCACTGTAATTATGTTGCTATGACAGCAACACTCTTCAAACTGAGGTCTTCACTTGAATTATCTACCACAACTAAGCTGGCCTTTCAGAACCTGAATCCATTTTCCTTGCCTTAAATTTTCTTTAGTAATGGCTGCATTATCCATGTAAAGCAGCTCTTTTCTCTATTAGCTATTAAAAAACAATGATGAAGCAGCAATTCCTTAGCACTTTTCAATGACTTCTCAGAGATTTTTAGCTATAAAATGTATTCTTTTAAATCAGCAAATGTTTACTTATGCCATGTTAAACCAGTTGCAAGAATGTGGAATTTTAG